TTCAGCCTTGAGAAATAAACAGTCTCTCCAAGAAACAAACCAAGCCTTTCTCTTCTTCCAAACCCCCTTCTTCTAAGACTTCCCCTTCCCCAGACTGATCAGTCAGCACTCTCAGCAGGAAGCCTGAAGGCTGGGCCATTTCCCCCTTTAGAACAGCTTCTATACATCAAATTAAACTCACCCAAGCAGATTCAATTTTTTAATTTTTTTAATTTTTTGGTCTGTCTCAAACTCTGCCCTCCACAAACCACTGAGCTATCATCAGATAAGATTGGATAAGTTGTGATTCCTTGGAGAAGGGTGAAGACAGGCCCTGGGCAGATATGTTCAGGATTCACTCACCATACCAGGGGCCTGACCTCCACTATGATGATCTGAAGCAGAAGATGAGGGGAAATGAAAGTAAAATTCTAGGAGGTGGAGTTTGGACAGGAAAGGAGGAGAGGAACTATAGACCACATAGGGCCCCTGGGAAAAGACAAGGCCTTAGCCTCCTGGGTCAGTAAGTGCATTTTATTCCTATCTCAGCTCTTCTCTTAGAAGCTGTTCTCAAGTCTCTTCAAAGTAATCAATCTTTTGGAAAACCAGACTTCCTGAGCAATGCAATTTCACACACCCACCTTGTCTTGTTTCCTTACTAATGAGCTGTCAGGAGGAAGGAGAAAAGTACCCCCTTTACCCCAGTGAAGACCCACACTGAAGGCTTCCCTGAGGCAGAACACTGGCATGCTCTCCCCTGGCCTGTGTCCACCAGCTGAAGTAAGTGAATCTGGCCAGTCTGTCCTATTAGGTCATGTTAGAGGAAATGGTTCAACAAATCTGAAATCACGAGGTAGTCAGTCAGAGGGGTAATCACAGAGTGGTAGTTCAATGATGCTGACATTCAGAAGCTGGATGCTATATGGCCAAAATGACATTTTTTCTAAATAGCCTCAAAAAGATTATAGAAAGTATCATTTGTTGGACAATGTTATTTAATACTATTTAAAATATAATCCCTATGACCTTAGCATAATCAAAATGAAGCAGGAATATTAGTTGATGGTGAATTTTGTGTGTCAAACTGACTGGTCACTGGTTGCCCAGACTAGATATTCTTTCTGGGTAATGTCTGTGTGGCTGTTGTTTCTAGATAAGATTAGAATTTGATGAATGGATTCAGAAGTTAACTTTCCTTGAAGTGAGTAGACATCAAACAATTTGTTGAGGGCCTATAAAGAAAAAAAAATATGGAAGAAGGAAGAGCTCGCTATTTTTGTGCCTTCCTGTCTACTTTGAACGAGGAGATAGATTTTCTTCTCTCCCTGGACAAGGATTTACACCGTGGCTACCCTGGACTCAAGCCTTTAGACTTGAACTAAGTTGCACCAGCCACCAACTTTTCTGTGTCTCCAGTTTGCCTTTGGCAGATAATGGAACATCTAAGCCTCCTTGATTAAGTGAGCTAATTCATCCTGATAAATATTATACATATATATACATACATTTATATATACATATTTATGAAGAATCCCATAGACAGAGATTGGTGACAGTCCATAGCGTTGCAAAATCAGATACAACTGAAGCAATGTAGAATGCATGCATGCACATTAACTAATACATATAGCATATTAATTCTACTACTCTGTTCTTTGGAGAACACTGACTAATACAGTAATGAAAAGTGAAAGTGAAAGTTGCTCAGTTGTATCCGATTCTTTACAACCCTGTGGACTTAGTCCATGAAATTCTTCAGGCCAGAATACTGGAGTGAGCAGCCTTTCCCTTCTCCAGGGGCTCTTCCCAACCCAGGGATTGGACCCAGGTCTCCCACATTACAGGCAGATTCTCTACCAGCTGAGCCACAAGGGAAGCCCATGAAACAATTCTCCAATTCTGCGTTAGGTGGCACAGGAATTCTGTTAAGGATAATGACATGATTGAATTGTTCAAAGATGTGTGCTAAACAGTCAATTGGTACAGTTAAGGGTACAAGGAAAATGTTTCAGGGACAATAATGTCCAATGCATCAATCTTAATCTAGTAAGATCTGTTTAGATATGAGGAAGTCAGAGTAAACTAAGAAAATGAAATGAAGGAAAAGAGCTTTGACTGGATTTACCACTGAGGGAGTCAGTCTGGGCTGCATCAAAGCCTCTCCCAAGAAGATAGGTGATAAGATAGTCACTTCTATTTTAATCTTGTTTTCTCTAGGTCTCAAGATCTTGTTATCATGCTGCTTACTTGATATTTTTTCACATGATTAAAGCCAATCAAGCATCTCTTTGTTTTATTAAAAGTGTAAAGATGTCCCTGATGGAAATTCTTCTCACATGTTCTTCTTGCTTTTGATCTCTCAGCTGAGCTCTTTATCTGGGTTGCAGATGGGGCTCAAGAAGGATGAGCAGGGCTAGTGACTTGGGGGGAACTGCAGTAGATCCCTGATTTTAAACTTGGACATCTTGCGGGACTTGTGAACACAGAAGAAACTGCAGAGCAGGGCACCTGTCATACCTTTAGGGCTTGCAAACCAAGAAGCAACTGGGCACTGGAAATTTATGTGGAGAGTCATGCAGAAATATGAAGTTGGCCAAAAAGTTCATTGGGGTGTTTCCATAAGATAGTACAGACAGATCCAAATGAACTTTTTGGCCAACTTAACACTACATTATTACACTAACAGGTGTTAAACTATTAAGCTCTCACTTTCCCCTATTTTCCCATCGAAGCACTTCTTTTTATCCCTGAAAATAGGGATCAGAACAGATACTGTTTGGACAAGTAATCTTTTTTTTTTTCCTCTCAGCTCTCAAGTAGGTTGGGCAAGAACTGGAAATGGAAAAGCCAAAAGACGCATGGCTGCCACCATGTGCTGTGTATGCGCTCACTGTAGCAACATTTGCTCTTCTGTTTCACTGGAGGACGAGACCCTTTACTTCATTCTGAGGATGACAGCAGCTTTTCACCTTACTAGAAAGAGTGAGGCTGGCCAAGAACAGGAAACACTGACCTATCCCTTGGCTGAGGAAGCCCAGGACAGAACTCCTGACCCTTCTTATTTGGTGGTAGATCATAGTGTGAACCAGGACCCTGAAAAATGGAGATGTATCTGGGCAAACAGAGAAAAGGTTTTCCAATGAAAGAGAATTACTGCAAAAATAGAAAAAAAAAATGTTAAACCAACTTTTAGCTAATATATTCTTATATTAAAGAAGCAGTTCCCATAATTAAAAGCTTGGCTAGCTATGAAGAGATAAAGTTGTTTTACTTTTTTAACAATGAAGATATTTTTATTATATGAACAATACAGTATTGTTACCTACAGGCAGAATGCTGTACAGTAGATCCTAGAACTTATCCATCTTGTGTGACTGACACTTTACAGTCATTGAACAGCAACTCCTTAACAATTTTCTAAGAGCTTAGATCTCGTGTTAAATATTCTTACCACCATAAAAGAGCCCATGTGGTTGATAGCAGAGGATTAAATAGTAGAATCAAATAGAATGTTTAGAGAAAATAAATAACAATCTAGAATTGTAAATTGAGAACACTATCTGTAACATTAAAGTATTTAAAGATTTAAGAAAAAATAAATATTATACAAAATTATTTGTGATTCCTTAATCGAGTTATTCTTTTCCATATGAATTTATTTACCTGACTGCATCAGGTCTTAGTTATGGCATGCGGGATCCTCCCCGCGGCATGAGGGTTCTTCGTTGCGCGCATGGCTTCTCTCTAGTGTGGTGCATGGTCCAGAGCATACACGCTCAGTAGTGGCCATGCGGGGCTTAGTTGCCCCATGGCATGTGGAATCTTAGTTCCCTGGCCAGGCATAGAACCCTTATACTCTGCATTGGAAGGTGGATTCTTAACCACTGGACTACCAGGAAAATCCCTAGTCAAGTTATTCCTTATCAAAGCAAAGCAAAGTTACTAATGTTTAAAGCAGATTACCGTTTCTCCTTTCACTTCTGGTGATGCTGTGTGCTCATTGGGTTTGGACCCCGTACCTCTTTTGTGAAGAGGAAGCTGAGGAGACTCCAGTCCTCAACATGGTAGACAAAAGGCCCGAGGAAGATGTCAAGACTGAGAACCTCAATCATATTAATTTGAAGGTGGTGGAGCAGGATGGTCCTGTGGTGTGGTTTAAGATTCAGAGGCATACACTGAAGGAGAGTTACAGTGCTCAAAACAGCCTGGAGTTAAAACTCCCCTCCGGGTCCTCCCCACCATGCTATGCAAAACAAAGAACTCTCTCTCATGAAGAAAAAATGGACCTTAAGGTAGATTAAGCCCAGCTCCCAGCCAGTCCCAGCCTCTGGCCGATCTCCAGAATTCCTTGCCCCAGCCGTTTAAGAGATAACTAATCAGAACAACCTTGGAGAAGAACGGACCCCTTAAGACAGTAGATTTCCACATATATGCCAATATATACTTACTCTTTTCTTGGGTTAGTGCAGCAGCTCACTAATCTGACTGCTNCTCAGCCCTGTCTGGCTCTTTTTGACCCCATGGACTATAGCCCACCATGCTCCTCTGTCCATGTAAATTTTTAAGCAAGAATACTGGATTGAGTTGCCATTTCCTCCTCCAGGGGATTTTTCTAACCCAGAAATCGAACCAGCATTCCATCTTTAGGTCGATCAAAAGGGTGGATTCTTTACCACTGTGCCAAATGGGAAGCCCTATACTGTGTTTTACCTTAAGAGAAAGACCTGAAAATAGAAAGGCTATCCTTAATAAGAACAGCTGTCCCTAGACATGGCTTCCTCTGCTAGACAGGTTTCATTCATAAACTCATACTTTTTTACTTTTCTGACCCATTTCCAGTAAAGGGTCTCAAAAATGGTCCCATATAGAACAGCCTGAGTATAAAAATGTTTTGTAAAACAAGATGGGAACTGGAGTGGTCTTGCCAGCCAAGTCTAGGAACTTGAAAAATGAGACTGGATAGGTCCATTATTGTTCATCTGAAGGGCACAAATATGTACACAGGACATTGACACAGCTTATACTTTTCAGTAATCATAGAGCAAATCTTTATTAAATTATGCAGGACACTTAAATAGTTGTTTTACACTGACATTTAGTTTTACACAATGATCTTAAAAGTTAAGGCACAGTTTTAAACCCTAGTTTGTATCTAAGGAAAAAGAAGCTTGGAATTTTTTCATCATTACACACCTTGTAAAAGTCAAGACAGGATTAGAACTCCAACACTCTGAACATAAAATTGTTATTCTGTATACAGATATTGCTGTGTTTTCTTTTCCATGACCCTTTGATAAACTGAGTGTGTCCTGGGCAACAGACATTCACTCAAATAGTTGATGGTAGTGGGTGGGGAGTGATTGTAGATTGTCCTGGATATCATAGATGGTGGCAGACAGGCTTTGCCATGTTTCTTTATGTTGGTGATCAAAAAAGAAATATATGGAGGATTATGAGGGCAAAGATGTTATACCATTACTGTTTTGTCTTTAGAAGGGATTAGAGGTCTCTCTTTGAGAATACAAAAGAGAGTCGATGGGTAAATAAGCATGTCTGCTAACTCAAAGCAGATTCATTCTGCATCCCAAAGAGGAGCACAAGTTCTAAAGTAGAGATGGGAGACTGGAAGGAAGAGATGGTGTGAGTGGCGCAGATGGGCTCAGGTATAGAAGATGAAATCCAAGGCAAGGGTCACTATCAGAAGTGGGAAAGGGAACAGAAGTTTCAGGAACTTGGAGGGCACAGTGTCATGGGAGCCGGACAGTCCCAAGGATTGAAATATGGATAGGCATTCCGAGAAAAGTTGCATTTAGAGAACTTATAGATGAGTGACCCATGGTTTGTGACATTGAAAAATGAGACAGTGCCTGCTTCATAGTCTAGAAAAACACCAACATGATGGGGAGGAACAGTCATGGAAAGAGTCAAGACTCTTGAGTCAGGATGAGCAGTGGAAGAGTCCTCAAAGGCTTCATACCTAAATTTGTCCTTTAACCCTATAACCCAGTAGCCAAGTTGAGGTCTGTATATGGAGTAAGCATTTTCACAATTCGTGCTTCCCTGAACAGCAAACTTTATATTACAGGAATGTATTCTACAGTATACCCCTAGGATCCAGGCAGTCTTCTTGGATACATCTATTTCCCAGTAGTGTTTCCCTGATGAGAAATATTGGGAGCCCAAGACACCATAATTATAATTCTTAAAAGGCCATATTGGCACAGATAGTACTTGTCTCTGATCTTCTGAAAGGACAAGATTCAAATTTAGGTTGAGGGGATTCAATGTGATGTCCACTGCAGAGGAAAAAAAATATCAAAACATGCAATAAATATAGGGTAAGCTTATCCAGTGACATTGTGAAGAGGGAACTTGGGAATTGACTATGAAGAACTTGTGTTAATGGACTGGGGAAAGGGGTTCAAACATTAGAGTGACATATTATATGTATGTATCAGGAAGTGAACACGTGGGGCTATGACCAAATCTAATCGAAACTGCAAACTTCTGAAATGGGGTCAGAACACAGTAATTTGAAGACCCAATAAATCTTCTTACCCCAGTGGCACTGGACGCTTGTTAGCTCTGAAATGACAAAAGATTTAATGATGTTGATTGATGCAAGTGGCTAAGCACTGACACCAGTTCTTTTCTAGGGTGAGGGCAGGGGGTAGGACCACTGTGAAACTATAAAGTGGTGAATGAGAGGATGAACCAGAAACCTAGCCATTCTCCCCTTTATATGACCACGTCCTCTTCAGCAATACCCCTTCTCTGAACACCTTCCTTCTTTCTACCCCGACTTGTGCCCAAATTTAGTCCCTGGCACCACAAGAATCCCATATCCACACTCCTGCCCTGGCTTCCACACCTTTAAACATGTGCAGCATTCCACGCAGATCTGGAACCCGGAATACATTCTTCAGTTTCTTGGAAACCATTTTTGGCTTCTTCAGTGTCCAGATCTTACTCCTAGAGATGAGAAAAATGTTGACCCTACATCTCTTACATTCCATCCTTTTAATACCACTGCCTTCCTCTCCTTCCATGCACTGATGCACTTAAACCTTCCTCCCTGAGAAACCCGAGGAGGGGAGACGTGAGGGCTCTGACACTGCAGACAAAAGAAATGTGCTCATGTCTACCTGCCCATTTAGGAAGAAGACCTTCACTTAAAAAAACAAAATAAAAACCTGTCTCCTTCTAGAAATGGAATATATTAACCCTTCTTTTGATACTTCATGGAATGAATATGAAACTAGGTGAAATACTGTATAGGAAAGGCTTTTGCTACCTCTGTGTTGTGCTGTGTTCTGCTTAGTTGCTCAGTCATGTCCAAATCTTTGCGACCCCGTGGACTGTAGCCCATCAGGCTCTTCTGTCCATGGGGATTCTCCAAGCAAGAATACTGGAGTGAGTATTCCTCCATGCTTTCCTCCAGAGTCTTCCCAACCCAGGTCTCCTGCATTGCAGGTGGATTCTTCTACTGTCTGAATCACCAGGGAAACCCTTTGCTACCTCTAAAATGGTACTAATATGGGAAAGTCATCATACACAATGGGTCTCCCAGATGGACGTTCCCAGGCAGAGCAGTAGGGAGGCTACAGATCCTGTGTTTTTATGGGTCTATTTTTGGAGAGCCTATAAGCCTGTGCCCTGGTTCAAAGCTTTACTTCCAGGGGTGTGGTCCACAAGCAACATTGGAGATTTTTAGGAGTTCTGGAAAAAAGTTAAAAGCTTCTGGCAAAGGAGAAGTTACTACTACTGAACTGAAAGTGGTTAGAACTTCATGTGTTTGTAAAAATTTGGTGCTACTAGATGGATCAGCAAACTTTTAGACACAAAGACTACAATTTCCTATGTAAGTTTCTAAAATATGTGACTAGGAAAAGATTAATTATTGCCACCAGGGTCAAAACCAATAACCTCAAGGCTCAGGTCTGCTTTTAGAAATCTAAAGAGAACCTTGTGGAATGACGTAGTCCCACTCTACTTCTATGTAGGCAAAATTTAAAACAAAACTTTTTTTTTTTTTTTTTCCTCTTTAAAGCTGACCTGCATAACTATTTTAGGGCTTGACAAGGCCCATGTGCTAACACAAGCACCAGTGAAATAAAGAAACCAAAGAAGGACAGAGGGTGAATTAAATGAGTGAAGTCACAAGAAT